CCTATATCACTTTCAATAAAAGTCGAAATTTTGATCAAAATACGTTGAAAATATATTGAACTTCGAAATTATATTTTGATTTTAAGGGACCCCCAAACGTACTGCAAACTGAAATATGCATGATCAATACGCTGAATCCCTCTTCCAATGAGGGGTCGCAAGCCATAGGGTAGCATTTGAAAAAAACATGTTGGGGTTGATTCGAGTTCCCCTTGAAGGGTTATAGTCTCCATATTGCTCGCCAAATGTAGGTTGATACATTAAAATTGAGAAATTATTCACTGTCCCAGTAGTGAATTTATTCCAGTTAAAGTCTCCACACTGTATATATACTCATATCATCAATTGGTCGAATTCGAAGATCTGCCATCTTTTTTACAGTTGAATACAATATTAATACTGATTTTATAAATGAAAGCTCAACCATATTGAATAACTATTAGAATATACACCGGCAGATGACGTTTAATAAGTGACGTCTTTTTACGTCAGTTGAATGACCAAGGTGACGTCAGGAGTTGACGTCGTATGACGTGATAAATTATATGTGAATAACTCACAGCCCAATGACGTCATGTTGCTCACGTTTATGGACATCATTTACTCACCAAACTGTGCCGTCGGACTGACGTCGAAATGAGGTCAGATTGACGTTCAAATGTGGTGATGGTACGTAAAAAAGTTTCCTCAAACATGGTGTGATGAACACCACTGACCTTTGATGACATATAATATTGATTATGCATTGTTGACTCTGCTTGGTGGTCCCTCCGGTGTCATGTCCATTCAATCGTCTATTCAGCAGCGCTATCCTTCAGTACGCATCTCTATCAGAAGGAAATCGTGTAGTTCGTGTCGGCGAGATGTAAGCAAACCAAGAATAGTTTGATATAGCAATGAAAAGGATGTTGACAAATTTTGCTTCACTATGTTGGAGTAACGTATATTCATTCATTCTTTGTCACCCAACAAAAGTCTTAATAGCAAATTATTGGAAAGTCTTCTGAATGAAGAAAACTCACCAAATTGGTACGTCACACCGACGTGATTTTGAGACGTCACTGCAACGTCATAAATGTGACGGTTTCAATAGGTACACCCATATATTACCATTTATATGTTTATATAGGCATATATAGCTTAATTGGTTTCCGAAATATACGGGGTGTCAGAGTTTTAAAAAAAGATTTCTCCTACTTTTTGGGTATATATAAGTCCAATAAAACTTGCATGTTGATTTGGTTCAATGAGTTATACTTCTATTAAAGTCAGTAGCATATACAGTATGATGCAAATGTATGGAATAAATTCATTTCAAAACAAGACGACTTCCGAAAAAAATCCAAAAAGTAGAGTTCAGAACTTTTTTATCGATGTATTAGATCTCTGCAAGATTCAGCTAACAAAATGATAATCCATTTTAATTTCAATCTTCTTTTGCAAAATTTTGACTATTGGATAGACGATCAGCATGCCTTTCAAACGAGGTGTCACATGACCCCTGTTTGTATTTAAAAAAACCGTCCATTACGTCATTACTCCAACACCGGTGACGTAACATCTCTCATATGAATGTCATGAGATGAGGTTTCAAAAATTAAAACTCACGTGTTTCTGGAATTTCTTCAAATGTCGCCCATTTCTGAAATAATGAGTTTATTCCATACATTTGCATCATACTGTATATAAAATTACCAAGACGTACATGTTTCTATATATTTGTGTTAAATTAATGAAAAAACGAGTTTTTCTGAAAACTTTACGACACTGAAAATGCCCATCCTGTATTTCTAGGTATGTCATCCCAGATAACACACATACATCCATTGGATGTCCATTTTGAATCCATTAGGTAGCCGGATGTCCATGGATGTCCAATGGACATCCATTGTGTATATGTACAATGGACATAGAGATTTGTACATACAATGGACATCCATTTTGTAGTTGTACAATGGACAACGAAATTTTTACAGCCAATGGATATCCATCATACTTATCCAATGGAAATCGTTTCGCAAAGTATATATGTATGTGTCATTTATGACTCTTCTATTTCAATTGAAATATTTTTACCAATAATATATAATATATTATATATGAACATTAATCACGGACAACTTCGCACTCGGTACTATTTTTCAAGATTTTATACGTCTCATCATTTTTGTAGGTTACGTACCTATATAGAGGTAGGTACTTATTTTGAAGTTGATTTTCATCCAATTTCAATTTTAAACCATTTAGGCCGTGCAAATAAGATCGATATGGGCAAATATAATACGGCGGGTTTCTTTCGAAAAAGATGAATCACCCTGTAACACTTTTGATAAGGGCCGTGTAAATGCTTTATTGCGGCACTAAACTTCAGCAAATTGCATTTTCTCTCGATGTGAAATACCGTGAATACGAAATACTTGCTATAATATTTATAACAGCTCAGTGGTCCAGAGGTTAGCGTTGTGATCCACGAGAGCGGGGTCCGGAGTTCGATCCCCTCAAAGGACAACTTTTTTTTAATTTCTACGTTCTGGCTGGACAAAATTTGGATATCCAATGGAAATCCAATGTATTCCTGATAAGTATCCAATAAACTTATCATTGGAATGGACATAAGTTGGATTTTTGGTAGACATCCATTAGAGTTCTGATGTGTATACAATGGTATTTCAAATGTAATGGACATACAATGGATCTTCATTGGGAATCCATTGGATGTCTGATGAGTATCCAATAGACTTCCAATGGAAAGGACAAATATTGGATGTCCAATGGAAATCCATCAGATGTCTAATGGAAAGCCAATGGACTTCCAATGTATGTCCAAACTGTTGGACATGTATTATCCAATGGATGTCCATTGGACAAATACTGGACAATGCCGTCCATCCAATGGATGTCCAGGGTATCCATAGCTGGACATCCATTGGTTGTCCAATGGATTCACTTGTGTTGTCTGGGATATCTTAGAAATGGTCTGGGAAAAATGGACGTCGACAGAGGACGTCCCAGCAACGTTATGAAACTGACGCCTTAAGTTACCCATTCAAGTGACGTTCACTCGACGTCGAGATGATGACGTGATTGTCACGTCATAGAAAGTACGTCATAGTGACGTCATAAATTGGTGTGTGACGTCTCTGACGTAGTATGTGCTAAGGGGTGGTTTATCGAGTGGTACTTTAAATGGCTAATTTTTGTGCAAAACTCTTTCTCATTCAAGCCAGTCTTTTCAGAAAGTTGATGTCACCCGTATTCGAAAAAATGCGTGTATAAATATTTAAAAAATCAACTGAAGTGATCTTCCACGACCTCATTCAGGTGATTTCAAAAAGAATTTATTGTTAAGTGTCAAGCGTATAAAAAAATCACAATTCGAAATATGTATTCAATTCCTGACCTATCAAATTTCTAAGTTTGAAGTCTCCACCCTGTATAAGTAATTTTTTGACAATATATAATTTTAGAGCCTTCTCTATTATACAGTGTGTCATTCATAAAGTTGGCATCATATGGGAAAATCTTTCAATAATAATGAAGTATTTTGAAACTCGACTTGGGCGTTATACAGGGTGTAAATTTGAAAACTTCCAATGCGAATATCTCGCGAAAGAAAAAAGTTAGAAAAACGCCGTTTGGCAAAAATGCTAAAGAGTTAAGGGGAACTAGAACCACCATATTTCGGTCAAAGGATGATAGTCACCCCGTCGGCGCGACACACCCCAACTTTGAAATGTCAAATGGCACTACCTTTTTTGTGATGCCTCAAATGAACAGTCTCAGTCAGTAGTATTCACCTGTACCAGACTTTTTTTTCACCCACTACAGGGTGTACGAAAAATATAAAGTCGAATAAAATAAAATGAATTGTGTTAAAAGGATATTTTATTTGATCAGATGTTCGAAATGCATTCCATTCTGTTGTAAGCAATAGTATAATCGATGTTCAAATGCCATTCTAACATTTTGGAACACATCTCTTGGAATATATCGGCATTCTGCATTTTATTTTATTCGACTTTATGTTTCCCGTTCACCCTGTAGTGGGTGGAAAATAAGTCTTGTACAGGTGAATACTACTGACTGAGACCGTTCATTTGAGGTATCACAAAAGATGTAGTGCCATTTGACATTTCAAAGATGGAGTGTCGTGTCGCGCCGACGGGGTGACTCATCCCTTTACTGAAGTATGGTGGTTCTAGTTCCCTCTAACTCTGTAGCATTTGTGCCAAACGGCGTTTTCCTAACTGTTTTATTTAGCGAGATATTCGAATTGGAAGTTTTCAAATTTAGACCCTCGAATTAATGTTTTTCGTACACCCTGTAGTGGGTGGAAAAAAGTCTTGTACAGGTGAATACTACTGACTGAGACCGTTCATTTGAGGTATCACAAAAGAGGTAGTGCCATTTGACATTTCAAAGTTGGGGTGTGTTGCGCTGACAGGGTGACACATCCCTTCACTGAAATATGGTGGTTCTAGTTCCCCTTAACTCTTTAGCATTTTTGCCAAGCGGCGTTTTTTTAACTTTTTTATTTCGCGAAATATTCGCATTGAAAGTTTTCAAATGTACACCCTGTATATATATTAATAGTTTTGCTTCAAAAAAGATGGGAAATGGCCTTTGGTCGGAATCACGTGAATTTTGCTATAGGAGGAAACTTGGTATACCATTCTAGGTTAATCAGTGTACAGTCACATGGAATTTCCATTTTTGAATTCTGATCACCATCAGTGGCGTAGTTACGGGTCATATGTCGCCACGCATTTTCCTTCATATTTTTTCTTCAACATATGAAATGTCAAATTAATGTCTGAAATCAGTTAGGCTTATTGATAACTTCACCCACATTTTCATTATCAAATTCGTGTTTTTCAGACAAAAATAATACCCATCGCATAATAAGTGCAAAATTACCCTTTTCGGATTTCACAGCCATTTTGAATTACTGTTTTATAATTGGTTGTAGGTAAATAAGGATGTGTACTAAAACAAAAACAATGACAAAGGTAAAATCTAATATATTAATAAACTATCAACATGTACAATTACAAATGTTTGGATGTCTCATGAAACTTGAGTTTAAGGGTGCAGAGGCCAATAGAGTAGATTATGTTTTTGAATAAAATCAGTATTTGAAGAATTTTTGAATCAATAGCAATAAGACACTAGTGCCATCTGTATTTGAACCAAACATTTGCCTTTTGGGTGACTTCATAGAACTATTCAATAATGATGAGTGGTCCAAGGCCCGTTTACAATTTGTGACCAATGAACTTGGTTGAATATTTTCTACAAAATCACCTAATGATGTCTAATATTTACATTGATGAATGGTTACATAACATTTGACCTTGACTGTACATCCTCCTAATTGAACAAAAACTAGAAAGGTGAAAACTACTGGGTTGAAGTTTTCAACCCATGCTGCCTGCTCTGGAAGTCTGAAAATTGAATAAATAAAAAAAGTATGAGTACAATCATCTTAACATTCATGCTTTGAGGAAAATTCACTTCTAAGATGAAATTAAGAATAAATGTTAATAAGCTTATGATAGTATAGAGAAAGAATATCCTCAGATATAATATGAACATAAACAACATAGGGTGCCTACATATAAAGAAATACATTGAGAATTTGAATTATCTAATATATTATTCTGAATATTCAACAGAAAACAACTACCGCATAGATCATATTTGTTGAACATCCAAGAGGATATGAAAATAAAAATCTTCTGAAATTGAGAATTGACATTTTCTTTCAAATCGGATGAATATATTGATATAAAAATGTAACTTACCAATATATTCAGTATTGAAATGAAAATTGAAATGTATAGAAGTATACTTGTATGATGAATATCAATGTGTCAAGCAAAAGCTTATAATTAATATTTAGTTGAGTTCAATAGAAATGGAAGAGTAACATACAGCGTGTTTCCGAAATTATGACAATAGGTGAAGTAGGCAAAAAAGCAAATTAAAAAATAACGGCTGGGAGCGTGATTCAAAAATACATTTTTCTTCAGGTTTATTATGTTATTATTTCTCATGGAACACCCTATATTAATAATTACTCCAATTTCGGTAATACCAGATATAAACCATATACAGGATGTCCCATAAGTCATGGATCAGTCACGGATTTTGATCATTTTATACAAAAAACTAAAATTTTACAGGAAGTAGTCAGTACTCATCTCCTGTATTAATTTAGGTACCATTACCAAATTTAAAGAATTTGGTTGTCTTGATTTCTAACTCACCAAATAAACTCCGACAATAAGTCCAAAGAGGCCAATAGCACTACCAAAGATCTCAATAATCAATATTTTCACAAACAGGGATGGATTGGCTGCATCAGAGATTGCTGCACCAGACCCTACTACTCCAACACATAGACCACAAAGCAAGTTCACAAAACCTACAGTGAGACCTGACCCAAAGATAACATGGGAACTGAAGTGATTGCTGGCAAACACAGAAGGGTCTGTGTTGAACTCTTCATTTTTGAAGTTCTAAAAATTCATTGAACAATTAACTAAGGCATGATTAATAATGATTAGCCAATTTTTTTGTTTTTGTGTTCATATTTTTGCTGAAATGGTGAGCACACTCACCTTGAAGTTACTTGACAAGACAATAGCCATAATCAAACCATAGATGGCAACAGCTTCACAAAAAATGATGGAAATCAAGTTCTTGGTTTTTATTCTTGGAGCTTTAACCCCAGCACCTACAATACTTGCTCCTGTGGTGTGAATTCCTCTGTAAAAAAACATTATGAAATGATAAAATTATTTCATCTACATCACCAATTATACATATAGAAAAGTTAATGGAACTCACAATGGATTTCAATCTTCAAATGATACCACTTACTCTTTTCAATTTGTGTATAGGTATAACATTTAAGAAAGAAAATCATGAGATCCTGAATGGGTAAAATGATCAACATTTTAGTGATTTTCAGAGTAGGTGAATATCCAGGTGAATATACAGGAGAATAAAAAGGACATATCAACCTGTAACTTTACTTGAAATCATATCTGAATTATCTGATACCTATAAATAGGTTGTATATACTCACACTGCAGCACCTACAACTGATAATGATACAGCCAGCCCTATCCCAATGGAAGCCCACATATATGGTGATGCATTGTTCAAGAACCTAAAAAAAAGTGCTCAGGTAGATGTTATGTTACTACACTGTACATACATTAGGTTATTAACATGGTTATTACTAACCAAAAAGTAGGTAGATTTATTATAGAATGATATTTGTATATTGAAAATCAAAATACCTATATATTCAAGGTAAATTTAAAAAGAGTGCTAAAATGGTGACCTTATTTTTCCAGGGCCAACACTGTCCAGTAGCTACATATTATGTTTTCTGAAGAATACTTCATTGATTTTATTAAAGTGCATGTGATGGGTTTTTCTTAGAAAATTTTTTTTGGTACTTATTTTCGTCTGAAAAACACGAATTTCACAATAGAAAAGTGAACAAACCACTATGGGTGGTAAAAGAAGGTGAAATTTCATTTTATTTTTGTAAAATATCTGGCTAAATAGCAGTTGGGTCACATTTTCTTTGTGAAATTTGTGTTTTTCAGAGGAAAATACCTAAGAACCAAAAAAAAGTTTCCAAAAAAAAACCATGGCATGATAAGTGCACTTTTACACAATGATTATTAGCAAAAGTGAGGATGAATTGAAAAATGCTATTCACATGATATTTATACATTTATGCACAAATCATATTTCCCCAGCCTTAACTGAATCTTGAGATTGAAATAAGAACATGAGTTATATGATTCAAATAGGTATTCAACAGTTGAATAGATGTTCAAGACACCATCAGAACCTCAACCAGAACATCAATGTTTATAAAATTGCAATAATGTTTCAAGACCCTATAATTCCAATTTCCATAGCTACAAAAAATATATTTTGCTTACCATGCTGGACTAACTTGTTCACCCTTTCCAGTGAGAAGGTAGTAGAGAACTGCCAACAAAAACTTTATTATAGAAGTCACATGCTTTATCAACAACGCCTATTATAGGGACAGCTTTCAATTTCACTTGAGAATACTTACCAAAAATTGTAATAACCGAAGTAGTCAATACACTTCCAGTATAAGTCAAAAAATATCGCATTTTTTCTTTATTTTTGTACCGTTTATCCTAAAAACATATACCAATTTGTTTAAATTAGATGAGACTATACACTCATGACCTATCTGTCATCAACAGCCGTCTCACGCACACTCCCACAGCAACAAATTATTTAAGAAACAAGAAACACCTGACAGATCGAAAACGTCATATTCAGCTGGATTGAATCAAAGCACAGAACTCGTGCATAGACATTGGTCTATGAACTCGTGCGAGTCGTGCGACACACAGAACATAAATTTTGTGAGAATGTATTTTGCCCAGACATCCGTATCAGCGGTTTGTATAGATATTTTAGATAGACGAATCAGAATGATCAATGGAGTTATAAGCATGCACGCTACTTCAAATTACACAATGGACTACCACTATTGTATTGGTGATTCTTTGTTTTGATTTGATGAAAAACAGACAGACAGATTTTAGAGGATGGAGTTGGTGTTATTAATCGACAAAACCGTATCAACCTCTTGTGATTCACAATATACATGACAAATTGACATACAACGATCTTTTTTCCATCAACGTGTTATATATTATCCGAATTATCATAATAATTCGGACCTTAATCTTCGAATTATAGAATAGGTTGGACTTTTATCTCCAAAATATAATAATTCGACTATTTTTCTCCGGATTATAATAATTCGGACTTTTATCTCCCAATTATAATAATTTGGACTTTTATCTTCGAATTATAATAATTCGAACTTCAGTCACCAAATTATCATAATTCGATCGTACCTTCATCTCCTGGTCATAAAATAATTCGGACTCGAATTACACTAATTCTGACTTTTACCTTAGAGTTATAGAAATATTTCTTGTAGTGGTCGCTCTCCGATATCGTTTTCGTGAAAAATAGTAAATATATATTTATTTTTGTTGCCCATGCAGACATTCCGATGGTCCTCTCTCTATGGTAGGTGAATTTCAATGATTCAGCAGGTGGATCTAAGATCATTGCAAGTTGCAAGAATCAAGAAACATCTAACTCGCTGTCATGAACAAACAATTTGGGCACGTATAATCCTTGCAGTATGGAAGCGGTTTGGTAGCTTCTGTAAGTAATTTAGCCAAGATTTTCGGGTTACTGAGTAACATATAGTGGTCTATTAGATAGATTCCGATTAAGTGAAGAAAATGAGGAAATTGATTTTCTATCATTTCTATAAAAATTGCCCATACGGATCTCTGGGTAAAACGAATTCTTGCCCCTGATTCTGTGCCAGTCCGGTACTGCCACTGCCACTACTGCCATTGTCAGAAGAGTGTCACTTGAGTGTAACGTGTCACTAAAGTCTAATGTCAGTGTCGCTACTGTCACTGCTGTCAAATTTCTACAACCTTAGGAAATGTCGCACCGAATTACAATAATGTGAAATTAAAGTAATTTTATAGATAATGGCAACACAAAAACCTGGAGAATGGGCTAATACTTTAATCGTTAGGTTTGAGGAACAGGTTCGTAGGTTGCCAATTCGTATTATCCTTGTATAGTGTCTGCTATAACTGCCCACCTTCTACTTCTAATCAATATTAAACATGATAGCTATTAATAATGACAAAAACTTGACAATGATGCTTATTGTTATTTAAACCTTTTATTGCAGCTACCTTGTCGCATTGGTCCCCAAACAACTCATTCAAGTATCAATGAAGAACAAAACAAAAACTGTATCATTCAAATATCCAGGTATCGTTTTGCACTTGTTCTGGATGGATTTGTTAAAGTTCTCAAAAGAATACATGAACTGGTAAGTTTTGTTTTCTCAGAGAATATGTTTCTGAACTCTTGTAATCGTACAATGCCTCAATAAGGTAAATATCTAGATACCTCATATAACACTGTTCATAACTCATATTCATAAACTGTTTCTGTGTATAACACTTACATGTATATTTGAACAATCCATCATTTCCAAAAAAAACACTACATTACATACATAAGCTTAAAGTAAATAACACAATAAAATCAAATAGTTTACTACATACAAGTAGTTTCCAGAGTAGTTTATTCAGATAATGTCACAGAAGAAGGATGTTAAGGTGTTCAGCAACAAATAATGCAGTACCTGACATAGGTTTATCAAAAGGAGCATTTAGTGCTAGTTATGGAAAATGCCCTGAAGAAAACAATTGCAACATACAATACAATAATTTCAATTTCAAATTGAATATATATCCTGAAACTGGTATCTTAACACAACTCTTCTTAATGTTCACTTTATGTTCATAACATGCAAAATAATATGTATGAAAACACCAAAGAGTTTTTCAATAGACAACTATAGCAAAGGTAACTAGAACTGAAACAATTACAAAAATGTGAAGATACATAAATATATTATGCAAATAGGTAGGTAGAGGAGATTGTATATCAACATTTAGTGTTTGCAATCTCTAACTCAACAGAATGATGATTTCAGTTTCATGAAGTGAGCAGAAAATTATGTCTAGAGTATTGATTTTCTCCTTGATTTGATTCCCAACATTTATGATATTTGGGCCATCTGTTATTTCTTTTCAGTATTGACATTTCAAACTGGTTGATATATGTCATATGAAGCAAATATGTATTTCATTCTCACATTCCTTCTCACATTATATTAACTTCCAAATAGGTAGTTTGTTCTCATTTTCTATTGTATAGAAATTCAATTCTCTAATTCTCTCCAGAAGTTCCTTGCTCATTGGTGAATAGACATTCACAGTTAGGTAGTGTTCATGTCTTGGTTCATGTTCTACAAAATATCTAATTTTTGTAACACTTGTAACTGTATGCCAATTCTTTAATGCCTAACTTTTGATTTGTTTTACTCATCTCAACTGGTTTCCATTGATGCCAGTTTGTCATGTTCTACAAAATATCTAATTTTTGTAACACTTGGAACAGTATGCCAATTCTTTATTTTTAACGCCTAACTTTTGATATGTTTTACTCATCTCAACTGGTTTCCATTTATGTCAGGTTGTCATTGATTATTGATCTCCTTGTCGGCAATTTTTGTTATATACAGGGTGTCCCAGAATTGCTGGGATACATAGCTACCACATGTAATACTGGCGAAAATAGGTTGATTGGGCCAAATTCATGTATATAACAAAATGTACCCTTTGTCCATGAGACTCATGTGAAGTTGGCGCCGGTTTTTTTTAAATTTTTTTTTTTAGAGTTCCGAGTAGATTTGATGGGGTTTTAGAGGTCCTGACTGAAATTTTGAATAATTCCAGCAAATCGTAGATGTTAATGGAAAAAAATAATTTTGAGCACTAACTTCATGCAGCGCCGTTTTTTTTTTCGAGAAAATGAGTTCTGATATATGTTTTTGCTGTATTATAAAGAGTTCTAGAGTCCTTAACCTATTCCATCAACAGTTCTGGTGAACTAAGCAAATTATTGAATAATTTAAGGAAATAAAATATAAAATGTGTTCCAATAGACAGCATTTCTTGGTGAAATACTATTCCTTTCCCTTTCGTATTGAGAAAATATGTCTAAGAAAAAATCGGTTGTCATACGGTGCTGACCTTAAAAAACTACCAATTTCGATGAAAAATTAATTCCAAAGAACAAAACAGTTCTGATGGGAAATCTGAGTAGCATTCGACGAGTTCTTCAAAATAGTCTCATTGTGTTTTAGTGACAAATCAATACTTTTTCATTTATCAGCTGTCATAAGGTGCCATGCTCAAAAAACTAACACATTGAATAAAACATTATAAAAAATTAATTTCCAAGAACATAAGACATTCTTAGTGGTGGTAATACGGTTCTCAAATTTTTTAAGCACATTTCACATGTGTAACAAATTGATGATAAATAATCAGTCACCTTGCTCAGAAAATTTGAGAACCATATTACCACCCCTAAGAATGTTCTGAAAAATTGTCAGGGGGTGAGGGTGGTTAAACCCTTCTACAATTCCTTTCGGGTTTGTTTGATTACTAAAATGATTATTAAAATGCACTTTTGTCAAATTACATCAAATTTGTTTCACTCGTTTCTGAAGAGCCTACAAAAATGTGTTTTTTCACAATCAGCATATATGTAATGTTGTCATTACTAATGTCATTGAAGGTTGTGAAGTGTCACATTACACACCTCTACTTCCCGCCCTCACTTATGTATTATTTTAGGTATGTTCAGAACGAAACAGAGATTTATTAATTCTGATCGAAATATGATATGAATATAAATAAAATAGTATACAAACCTCGGTAGGAAGTTTCATTCCTGTTTACTAATATCACGACGGGAACGAATCTCTTCCCACCTCGGTGTAATACGAGGTGTAATATACTATTTTTTATGTAAACTTTGAACTCGTCTCACGGACAAACTGTACATTTTTTTATATAAATGAGTTGGGCCCAATCAACTTATTTTGAACTGTATGATAGCTCTGTGTCCCAGCAGTTTTGGGACACCCTGTATACCTCAAATAGATAGTGGTTTCAAAATGCCCTTTTCAGTGTAGAACATAATACTTTCACTTATGAATTCTTTAAGTATTTCAGTGTAGTTATTTAGCATGGGAGGTATGATATATTACCAGTTTACTTGCTCCAAATTAACAACAAGAAAATACTTACACTCCCCCATGAGACAAAATGAGTTTGAAAAGACTTTCTAACATTGATTATTCTTTTATACCAAGTACCTATAAATAAAAAAATATATAAAACTGTGGGATAACAGGTAGCATGGCATTTTCACCATATCTCTACCATATTCTACCCATATACCTACTATTCTACCAAACTAAAATATTTTTGACAATGCGATGTTGCCACTTCTATTAGAAAGTAGTAGCAACTTTGATTTTTCAAATGGAACACCCTATCATTAATATAATTTTTAGACTTTTCTTGATATTTCCCTATGCCTATGTTACCGTTTTCAAAATAAATATTAATTTCATTTTTTTCTTCAAAACTCATGACCCCTAAAATTGCTGAAATCTTTGAGTTAAGAATAGGTAATGCAACGAAATTTGGCCTACCGTTTGTTACTTTGATACATGGTGGTGAAAAAATACAGTTTTTTAGTTTGCTTGAAAATGTGACTGAAAGTTTTTTTTTATATATTGTTAGGACCAAGATATTGGGGGCGGTTCTCAGTACTTGAGTAATAAAGATATATTTTGAGTTATTGTCCATATTATTATTATATACTTACTATTATTATTATTATCATTATTGAGTTAGTATTAATTGATTATTATTATTATTATTATTATTATTATTATGTTTGGGATTATTATGTTACCGATATTATGCCTATTATCGATATTTGATAGTCATATAATTATCTTGATACATCCGGTATAGTTTACTATTCCAGCATATCGAAGAATTAATCAGAGTTACGTAAAATGTAACCGTCGTTGTATTGTACATGAAATAAAGGAGACGTGAGTCAGTCTTGTTAGAAGTCTTGATCAGAATAGAGCTCAAGTGTGTTTGATTTAATTCCCATCTATAACAATATATTTATGTGTATTATCGAAAATTCAAAAAGCTCCAAAAATTTGCTTTCTATCTACACCTAACTAGTCAAGCATTTATTTGTAAAAATGTTCTTGCAGAGGTATCCCCATAAGGTATTTCTAAGCAGGCTATGATTACTATTTGACAGTAACGTTGTGATGTTGTGACATTATCCTAATTATATCAACATTTTCGTCACTTTGGAAGTTGAAAATACCTCCAAAAGGCAAAAGGATGTGAAAAAAAACATTCAAACGAAGTTCTCACGAATTTATTTGAGAATACTGTAGAGAACTCTCCAGAGAACTTCATCGATAATCTGCCTCTGGAAGAATATTGAAAGTGTTCCTGCACATTGTTGAAGTGACCGTAGAACTGGAAATACTTTTGGACGATCGGTGGATAATGCGCTTGGGATCATGAGATCACCTGATCTGATAGGGACCTAAATTGATGTTTGCAACCTTCTCACACTTTTTTTATATAAATAATGAGTGTATGCCTTGTTCGAAATTGTTAAATTTCGGAACTCATTTCAAACGTACCGCCATGGCCTCCATTTGTTTCGTTATTGGTCAGATAATCTTCCATTCCCACTCACGAAGCATGATTGTCAAGTCACTAATCATAATCAAATTATCAAAAAGATGTGAGAGTCCTGTCGTTGAATAAAAGATAATAGGAGGAACCCATGATATTATAGTTCATTATTCTGACTTATTCGAGTAACCAGCATGTCCAAATATTTCTTATACTTCATAACAAAATATCATGTAAATGTTGGAGACTTGGCAACATTGTGCTGAATACTGCGAAGGGACAAGAAAACGCCCACAAGTCGTGCGCGCCGTGTTGTCACGTTCACCGCTTCAAATCTCCTCTAGTGTAAATTAATATAATTACTCTCAACATCTCAACAGCTTCTCATGATCTACAAAGCGCAGATACGGCCTGTTCTAGAATACTGTTCCCACATATGGGGTTCAGCACCAAAACATACGCTGATGCTCTTAGATTCCATCCAGAGAAGAGCCATTCGCCTGGTGGGTGACGCCACACTCACTCACTCTTTGACATCATTGGAACACCGTAGAAAGGTCGGCGACCTTTCACTTTTCTATCGATACTTCCACGGGAAATGTTCTTCGGAAATCTCTGCTATCATCCCTTCACTAGCAATACCAATCAGACGAACTAGACAAGCCCAGTCAGCACATCCTTTCGTTGTCAACCTCGAAAGATGTCGAACAGCACTTTATCAAGA